TTCCTACACAGAACCCCATGACCAACAGAAAATACAGTGTTTCCTGATGGTCTCTGGTGACCCCTCTGACACCCTCTTGTGACCCCCTCAGGGGTCCTGACCCCCAGGTTGAGAAACACTGACTTAGGGGGAAAGGAAAAGGCCTGAGGCCAGGAATGGTGGGAGTTGGAATCCAAAACACCTGGAGGGAAGGCCAAAGTGGGCCCGTGCCTGTTCCAGACCTTTGGCCCTTCTCTGGGCACATTTCCAACGTAGAGTGTCCACCTCCTTCTTGACCTGTTTTGCCCACAACTGGACACAGGGTCATTCCAGGTAAAGACCAAAGCCGAAGCAAGCGGGACTACGCCTTCCCTCCCTCTCTTAACACAAGACTCTAAGGATGCATCCTAGGATGGCGTTGGCTTTTGGAGCTGCCTCATCCCAGCGTTGGCTCCCGTTCAGCTTGCGGTCTTCGAAGACTCCTTGAGGCCAAGCCCTGAACAGATGGGGCCTGGAGCCCTTGATTACTGCATTGGGGGGTGGGGGTGGGGGGTTGTGCCCGCCTCCTTGCTGACCACTTGCTTCTTTCTTCCTTGGCCCGGGGCACATGGCTCACCTGGAATGCCTTCCGCTCTGCAGAACCTGCTGTGGCTGCTTTGGGTGTGCCTCCCTCCGCCGTGGGAGGACTTGACACCTTTCCAGGGACCGCTGAGGATGTCCCAGGTGGAGCCCCGCCCGTGGGAGGCCTGCTTTGGGTCTGAGGATGCGCCCAGCCGCCCCCACGGCCCTTCTTCCCCTTGAGTCACCCTCCCACGCAGGTGCCCCAGCAGGCCGGAGGGGAATGTGGCCGCGCTGGATCACCCGGCATTCCTCACCCTTGGCCGGGGCTGCTGGGATTGCCTAGAATCCTCGATCTTGGAGGGGCCCCAAAGGCCACACAGCCCAACCCCCTTCTGCCAATAAAGCTGGAAGGCACAATCCAGGCTCTTCTTCACAACTGCCACTCCGCCAGATCCAAAGCAGCAAGACACTCATTCCATGGACAAACAGCTCCTGTGCAAGGTTTCTCAGCTCCAACACTGTTGCTGTGGATTCGTCTTCTCTGAAAGCATGCGCCAAGACCCACAGGGGATGCTTTACTGTTCGGAATCCAAGACCCTCGCACTTCTGCCCGTCTATATAGGCCTGGCTACAACAACAATAATAATAATAATAATAATAATAATAATAATAATAATACTTTATTTGTACCTCGCTACCACCATCTCCCCAAGGGACTCGGTGCGGCTTACATGAGGCCGAGCCCACAATACAACAATAAACAATAACAGTAATAATACAAAACAATAAATAAACTCATACGCCAAAATAGGCAATAAACATTATCAATAACACAACGCGTTTAAAAACCTATGGCTGGGCCAAATGTCATAATTAAATTTAAAAAAATAATGCTGGGCATGACAAGGTGACATGGAACTGAGATAGAAGTTTTGGAGAAGAAAAAATGTGGAGACAATCTTAGATCACTAATAAAGTGCGTTTAGGGACATATTGCTAGGAGTTTCCTTATTCTGGGAAGGCACACTGGAACAACCACGTTTTCAGGCTCCTCCTAAAGACTGCCAGGGTTGGGGCATGCCTGATGTCCTTGGGGAGTGAGTTCCAGAGTTGAGGGGCCACCACCGAGAAGGCCCTCTTCCTTGTCCCCATCAATCGCGCAGGTGGGATCGTGAGCAGGGCCTCTCCAGATGATTGAAGAGATCGTGTGGGTTCGTACACAGAGATGCGGTCACACAGGTAGGCGGGTCCCAAACTGTTTAGGGCTTTGTAGGTAAGAACTCTAAAGCCTTGACTGTGTGGATCATAATAAATTGTGGCAAGTTCTTGGTGGGATGGGCATCCCAAGCCCCCTTCCCTCTCTCCTGAGGAATCTGTCCAAGGACCAAGGAGCAACAGTCAGAACTGACCACGGAACAGGAGACGGGTTCCAGATTGGGAAAGGCGTACAGCAAGGCTGCATCCTCTCACCCAACCTTTTTAACTTGTATGCAGAACACATCATGCGAGGATGTGCGGGGCTGGATGAATGCAAAGCTGGGGTGAAAATTGCTGGAAGAAACATTAACAACCTCAGATATGCAGATGACACCACTCTGATGGCCGAAAGCGAGGAGGAGCTGAGGAGCCTTCTAATCAAGGTGAAAGAAGAAAGCGCAAAAGCCGGGTTGCAGATAAACGTCAAAAAAACCAAGATTATGGCAACAAGAATGATTGACAACTGGGAAATAGAGGGAGAAACGTGGAGGCCGTGACAGACTTTGTATTTCTAGGTGCAAAGATTACTGCAGATGCAGACTGTGGCCAGGAAATCAGAAGACGCTTCCTTCTTGGGAGGAGAGCAATGTCCAGTCTCGATAAAATAGTGAAGAGCAGAGACATCAGACTGGCAACCAAGATCCATTGCCTAGTCAAAGCCATGGTCTTCCCTGTAGTCACCTACGGATGTGAGAGCTGGACCTTCGGGAAGGCTGAGCGAAGGAAGATCGATGCTTTTGAGCTGTGGTGTTGGAGGAAAGTTGAGAGTGCCTTGGACTGCGAGAAGATCCAACCAGTCCATCCTCCAGGAAAGAAAGCCCGACTGCTCACTGGAGGGAAAGATACTAGAGACAAAGTTGAAGTCCTTTGAATGCCACATCATGAGGAGACAGGAAAGCCTAGAGAAGACAATTATGCTGGGGAAAGTGGAAGGCAAAAGGAAGAGGGGCCGACCAAGGGCAAGATGGATGGATGGCATCCTTGAAGTGACTGGACTGACCTTGAAGGAGCTGGGGGTGGTGACGGCCGACGGAGCTCTGGCGTGGGCTGGTCCATGAGGTCACGAAGAGTCGGAGACGACTGAACGAATGAACAACAACAGGTAAGAACCCGCACCTTGAATTGGGACCGGAAAATAAACGGTAGCCAGTGGAGCTCCTGAAAGGAGCACCAGTTAACAACCTGGGATTAACAGAACTCAAAAACCACTGGACGAATTGACACTAAATTTGGACACAAGACACCTAACAACCCAATGTATGTCCTTCACTTAAAAAATTGATTTTGTCATTTGGGAGTTGTAGTTGCTGGGATTTATAGTTCACCTACAATCAAAGAACATTCTGAACCCCACCAATGATGGAATTGAACCAAACTTGGCACACAGAAACACCCATGACCAATAGAAAATACTGGAAATGTTTGGAAGGCAGTGTCCTTTGGTTTTGGAGTTGTAGTTCACCTCCACCCAGAGATCACTGTGGACTCAAACAATGATGGATCTGGACCAAACCCTACATGAATACTCAATATGCCCAAATGTGAACACTGGTGGAGTTTGGGGAACATAGAATCTTGGCATTTGGGAGTTGTAGTTGCTGGGATTTGTAGTTCACCTACAATCACAGAGCATTCTGAACCCCACCAACGATAGAACTGGGCCAAACCTCCCACACAGAACCTGCATGTGGGTCACAGCAACGTGTGGCAGGGGACGGCTAGTAAATAAATAAATACTGTGTCTTGATCTCGAAAGCAGAACCAGGCAGGTCCCTTTTGGGTGTTCACAGCTGGCTGTCGTGTTCCCTCACAAACACAGGAATCTTTCTGGAGCCTTTGGGCACATCTATGTTGTAGGGAAAATGAAACCACTTTAACATCGGGTGTACTTTGGTGGGGCATCAACACCCTTTGCCAGAGGAGGCCTTGTAAGACTGCAATTCCCAGGATTGGGACCTAGCATTGAGGCACAGCAGCCAAAGTGTGGTCCGACTGCATTGGTGCTGCAGTGGAGATGCACCTTCTCTAAGCCAAGTTCAGGAGCTCCGTGGGAAACAGACACTGGAGGCTCCTTCTTTGGAGGCTTTGAAGCAAAAGCTGGGTGGACATTTGTCGGGGGTGCTTTGGATGTGATTTTCCTGCTTCTTGGCAGAAGGGGGTTGGACTGGATGATGGCCCACCAGGTCTCTTCCAACTTTTCTAGGATTCTAGGATTGTATGGAAGGGATCACTGGAAGCCAGCCTGGGAACCAGGGAGCAATGACTGCCGCTCTGGGCTGAGAAAGGAGCCCCCCTCCTCTTTGTCCCCTTTGCCGGACTCAGTGCCACATCCACAGAGGTCAAAGTGACCGGTCACAGCGGCTGCTGCTGCAGGGCTTTGCTGATAAGGTTCCCTGGGAGCCCAGGGGGGAGGTGGGGCCTGGAGATTGGCCTGGGTGGGAAAGAGGCCCAAAAGCCAGGAAGGCTGTGGAGGTCAGTGCCTGCTGGTCCTGGGATATCTGGCCATGGAGTGGCCTCTTACTGTCTCTCAGTTTAGAGGTTTCCCAACCAGGGACGCTGTTCTTTTGCACAAAACACCTTCAAATTCCTGTGCAACGGGTGCAACAAGAGCCTGTGCTTGCACTGCTTGCACGCAACATGGAAACATGTGCTACATTTGAGCCAGTTACCTGGGCAAAGGGATGGTGCTGGGCCTGGCAAAGGGGATGGATGGTTTAGGGCAGGCCTGGGCAAACTTTGGCCCTCCCTCCAGGTGTTTTGGACTTCAACCCCACAATTCCTAACAGCCAGTATGCACAGAGAGGGACAGGTATCTGCTCCCAAGAGGCCTGGCCAGGGATTGTTATTGACGGGCGTCTTCTTGCCCCTCAGCATTGAGATTCCCCATAGCTGGCAGGTCTGGTGACCATGGGGTGGGTCCCTCTGCGCATCTCTTTCCCTTCCATTACATCATCACCAACTCCATCCTTTTGCACTGAGGTCTACCCAGTGTTCTTGCAACAGGCATAGCAAGGCTCTGTGCAACGTGAGTGTATTGGTGCCAGGGGGGCAAATCTGGGGCAGGTGAGAGGGCCCTTTACTGCATCGCATTCTCACTGCCAGGGCACTAGGACCAGTCCTGCTCCCGGCAGCCCAGCCGGAGCTCCCTTTTGGGGACTCGGTGGAGTCCTGTTGACGCCAGCAGCTGCCTTGACTCAGAGCCCACTTAAAAATAGCCTCAGTGCCGCGGCTCCCAATGAGAGGGCCAGAGATGGCCGCTCCGGCTGCTGCTCCAGGGTCCCGCCACCGGCAGCTGCCCCCCACCCGCTTCCACCCCGTCCACGGGGCCAACATCTGCCTGGACCCCTCGGGCACGCAGGCCACCCGCCTGGAGAGCTTTGCCAACGGGGTCTGCTTCAGCCGGGAGCCCCTGGAGCCCGGCCAGATCTTCCTGGTGGAGATCGAGGAGAAGGAGCTGGGCTGGTGCGGCCACCTGTGCGTGGGACTGACCGCCCTCGACCCCGGCGCCCTGGAAGCGGTGCCCGAGTACTCCCTGCCAGACCTGGTCAACATGGGCCACAGCTGGGTCTTTGCCATCACCCGCAACCACAACCGGGTCGCGACGGAGGGGGACCGGCACCAGGACCGGGACCTGCTCTCCTTGCCGTACCTGTGCATCGAGGAGGCGGTCAAGATCCCCCGGGACAAGCTGGTGGGGCGCAGCCGGCCTGGGCGCTACAGCCACCTGCTGGATGACCTCTACAAGACCAACGCCCTCCCCCCCACCGCCCGGAAGAGCCGGATCGGGGTGCTGTATGCGCCGAGGCCGGACGGGACGGCCGACATGCACATCGTCATCAACGGGGAGGACATGGGCCCCAGCGCCAGGGGGCTGCCGGCCTCCCGCCCGCTCTACGCCGTGGTTGACATCTTCGCCTCCACCAAGAGCGTCCGCGTCATCCAGGTGGAATATGGATGTAGGTACTGGGGTCAGGGTCTGCAGGATGCTCCTTCTTGGGAAGCCCCCCTATCTCCACCATGCATGGTCCTCAGGTCTTGCTTGCAACAGAAGCAGCAACATGGTCAGACTCAATTCGGCCCACAGGCCAAATGCGGCCCACCATGTCATCTCATGGGACCCTTCCCCAGGTAGATGTTGGGCTGCAGATCCTGCCTTCCTCCTCCTCCTCCTCCTCATTGGGGCTCATGAGCAGAGCTGGTGGGAGGTGGGATACAGTCGCCCCCGGAAAGCTGTTCATCTGAGTCAGGCTTGAATTTAGATCTAAGGCTTGTGGGGATAACGTCTGGCTTTCTCTTTCCTCCAGCCTCGGAGCCACAAGGGCTGCTGGACTGCCATTCCCATTATCCCCCCAAAATGATGGAGGCTATCACACTCATCATCTAGGGACCCAAAGAGCACCGACTGCTATGGGAAAATTTATATAGTTGTCCCTCTATCTCCTGGGATTTTCCATCCATGGATTGGAGGCCCTTAGAAGGAAACCCTAAAGGAGATGTGGCCCGCAATCAAAATGTGTCCAATAGCCCACCTTAAGGCTTGTTCATAGACAGGTGTCCAATCCCTTCCTTGGGCTGAACAGGTGGGCCAGGAACCCATGAAGTGTGGGTGATGCGCTCTGCTCTGGGAGAGAGAGAGGGAGGGGCCCCGTGCTCCCCCCAGAGAGGCCCCACACGGCTGGTTATTTGGCAAAGGCCTAAATGAAGGGGAGGGGGGCAGCAGGGAAGGAGGGAGGCCCAGGAAGGAAGGACCTTCGGGAGGGCAATGATGGAGCAAAGGACCAGGGGACACCTGGCTCGGGACCTGTTGGTCTCCTGAGCTTACCTGGCAAAGGAATTTGAGAACTGGACTGTCGTCATAACTGGAGCATGAGCCAGCAGCGGGATGCGGCAGCAGAAAAGGCAAATGCTATCTTTGCCTGCATTAACAGAAGCCTAGATTCTTGCTTGATAATGCCTATGGAGATTCAGCTACAGAGTGATCCTGTTTTGACATGTCCTTCCAGATGGGACCCAGCTCACCTCTGCCCCATCTTGGGAAGTGACCCCCTCATTCCAGGGCCCACAGTTCTTTACTAGTCTTGTTTTTGTTTGAAATCTAACAAAAATCGTGCACCTTCTTGCCAGAAAAAAACTTGGGGTTTTGTGTGTGATGCAGACACTGGTAATGTGTGTGTGTGTTTATCTCTGCCTCAGTCCTGGTGGCTGCCCTGCTCCAGAGCTTTTGGGGGCCCCTTTCAAGAACACAATTGTTGTTGTGTTGCTTTGGAAAGCCTGTGTCCAGGGCTGCTGAGAGCCCAAGTGAGTCCCCTTTGCCCTTGGAAGGAATGAAAACAGAGGCAGAGATGTGAGAGCATGAGGGAATAGGCAGGTGAGCTCCCCCTCAGTAGGGTTGTGTGTCAGGCTGGGTCTGAGCTTCCCTCCTGGCTTCATGCAGAGGGACCATGCTTCTTTGGGGGGCTTCTTTTGGGGGGAAGGACACCCCGCTACTTCCGCTGAGACATTACGCTTTAAGGAAAGCTATTCTCCGTTTCCATGGAAGTAGATGGGCGTCATTGGAGCCTTAGTAACTTCCACTTCCTCAGGAGGCTTGAGACTGAGAGGAGTGACCTCCTGAACAGTCTGTGAAGGACTGCAAATGGACGACGAGGTGCTTGTGGGCAGGAAATGACCCCAGGTTTCAGCACCTTTCACCACACAGCATTGCCCTAACAAAATGAAGTTCAACAGTGACAAATGCAAGATACTCCACTTTGGCAGAAAACATGAAATGCAAAGATACAGAATGGGGGATGCCTGGCTCGAGAGCAGTACGTGTGAAAAAGATCTTGGAGTCCTCGTGGACAACAAGTTAAACATGAGCCAACAATGTGATGTGGCGGCAAAAAAAGCCAATGGGATTTTGGCCTGCATCAATAGGAGCATAGTGTCTAGATCTAAGGAAGTAATGCTACCGCTCTATTCTGCTTTGGTTAGACCACATCTGGAATATTGTGTCCAATTCTGGGCACCACAATTCAAGAGAGATATTGACAAGCTGGAATGTGTCCAGGGGGGCGACTAAAATGATCAAGGGTCTGGAGAACAAGCCCTATGAGGAGCGGCTTAAGGAGCTGGGCATGTTTAGCCTGAAGAAGAGAAGGCTGAGAGGAGATATGATAGCCATGTATAAATATGTGAGAGGAAGCCACAGGGAGGAGGAGGGAGCAAGCTTCCTTTCTGCTTCCTTGGAGACTAGGACGCAATGGAACAATGGCTTCAAACTACAAGAGAGGAGATTCCACCTGAACATGAGGAAGAACTTCCTGACTGTGAGAGCCGTTCAGCAGTGGAACTCTCTGCCCCGGAGGGAGTGTGGTGGAGGCTCCTTCTTTGGAAGCTTTTAAGCAGAGGCTGGATGGCCATCTGTCAGGGGTGCTTTGAATGCAATATTCCTGCTTCTTGGCAGAATGGGGTTGGACTGGATGGCCCAGGAGGTCTCTTCCAACTCTTTGATTCTAGGATTCTATGCAGTGATTCCCAGAGAGCCTTGCAAGTCATGCCAACCTGTCCTTCTCCGCAAACCCTCTTATCAGACCTGCTCAGACCTTCTCTGGACACTTTGTATTACGGCTTGTCGAGGCCGAAAGACACCGGAGACCTGTGAACAGTGCCTGGGAACAGGCAGCAGCCACGCCTTGAGTCAGAATCACCTGAAACATTATCAGGCATTACCATCTTGAGTCAAAACTGCAACCCCCATGAATGGCACTTTGCCCGCTCAAAAGATGTTCGCCAAAAACCAGCCCAACTGGCTCCTCGGAGTATGTTTGTTGCAGGCAGGGGAGGAAAACACCTTCTTGTTGTCGTTGTTGCTGCAGTGCAGGCCTTGTGTGCCGGGCGACTCCTCTCTCGCCTCCTCCTCCTCCTCCTCCGCCACATGTCACATTCAGGGCCACACCTTCCTTCCCCTTGGGTTTTGTGTTGCAAATTCATCCGCTAATTACTGTCCGATGTTGAATAACCACCATCGTTATGTATTTATTTATATAATAATGTATTCATAAGCAAAGCGCTTTAATAGGACTTAGTTGAGAAGGAAGGATTTCTGCCTCAAGGAAATTGCAATGCAAATGTCTCCGGAAAGGGAGATGGGTCACAGCAGGAGTGGCCGGGCCCTCAAAGGCTCTTCTTAGGCGTGCCTAGGCTTCGGGGGTTGTTGTTGACGTTGTCTGTTGTGGTGTGCCTTTGTCATTTCCGATTCCTGGCGATTCAACTGGGTTTCCTGGGGCTGAGGGTGTGTGACGTGCCCATGGTCTTCATAGACTCTTCGGGGCTGGAAGGGATCCCAACTAAAGAGATGCCACCAAAGCACTCCCCAAAGATGCCCACCCAGCCTCTCTTTAGGGACCTCCAAAGGAGGAGAGCATTCCACTTGGACAGGTCTTCCCAATCCTAGAATCCTGGAGTTTGAAGGGACCCCAACAACTTTGCCATCTACCCCCCCCCCCCCCCCCCCCCCCATCTGCCAGGCAGAAAAATACAAGAAAAGCTGCTTTGACTCTATTTTACAAGAGGAAACAAGACTCCACTCACACATTAGGAAGAACATCCTGGCAGAAAGAGCTCTCTGGCAGGAGAATCTATTTCTGTTTCAAAGTCCAGTGGGGTCTCCTTCCTTCCCTGGGTGACTGTCTCTCTGTTGGGAAGGCTTGGATGGTGTCCGCCTGCCCGGCAGAAAGATGGAGACCGGACTGGATGGTCTTCTTTATTCCCTCGGATGTCGCATTTATAATATAGTGAAATGCTGGGTGTGGATTCATGGTATTTCTCAAGTTCTGGAAATCTTCATATGGCCATCCAGCCTCTGTTTAAAAGCCTCCATAGAAGGAGCCTCCACCACACTCCGGTGCAGAGAGTTCCACTGCTGAACGGCTCTATCACACAGTCAGGAAGTTCTTCCTCATGTTCAGGTGGAATCTCCTTTTCTGTAGTTTGAAGCCATTGTTCCATTGTGTCCTAGTTTCCAGGAAAGCAGAAAGGAAGCTTGCTCCCTCCTCCTCCCTGTGACTTCCTCTCATGTATTTACACATGGCCCTCATCCTGTCTCCTTTCAGCCTTTTCTTCTGCAGGCCAAACATACCCAGTGCTTTAAGCCGCTCCTCATTGGGCTTGTTCTCCAGCCTGGATCCTTTGAGTCGTTCTCTTCCTCTGGACACAGTATTCCAGCTGAGAATCAACATCTCCCTTCAATGGTGGTGCCCAGAATTGGTCACAGTGTGATTCCAGGTCAAGTGGTCTGACCAAGGCAGAATAGAATAGAGCATGGGGAGCAGGCACTAGGCTCCTCTTGATGCAGGCCAACATCCCATTGGTTTTGTTTGCCACTGCACGACATTCTTGGCTCATGTTTAACTTGTCCATGAGGACAAGAAGTTATCCTGTTGCTGTCAGAAAAAGACTGCTGTGTCCCAAAAAGTTTGGAGGGCAGGAGCGGTTTACAAGGAAAGGACTGTTTCCTGGTGTGTGTGATGTACGGCTTTGATCCTCTGCTTTGAATCCCAGGGTTTGAAGGCCTGTCCTGTCCAGCTCCATTCTGCGAGGCTGAAGCACACCATCAAAGCCCTTCCGCAGGCGGTTTAATGCCTGTTTAAGCATGGATTCTCACATGTTTTTGAGCTCCTTTTGATTCCATAAGCCACCTTCAACCCCCAGCTTTGCAGAGCAGATGGGGAATAACACAACACAACAGAAAATTCCCCTGGACTCACGTCCAAAGAAGGAACCAAAGCAGAAGGGAGGGTGCCATGACTTCCCTGGACCTAAACATGATGCTCCTTTGGATGCAGCCCAAAATCCCTTTGACTTTTTAATCTGCATGTTTCTTTTTCCTGCCTAAATGTAGTATCTTAGATTTCTCCTTGTTGACATTCATTTGTTAGTTTTGGCCAAGCAGCTCTGTCATCTGTTGAGTTCATTTTGATTTCTGATCCTGTCTTCTGGAGTATTTGCTCTCCCTCCCAATTTGGTGTCACCTGCAAACCTGACCAGTAGCCCCTCTCTAAACCATCAGCCCAAAAACGGAAGAGAATGGGACTATGACTTCCCTCGATCTCAACACTGTGCTCCTCTCGATGCAGCCTAGAATCGCATGGACTTTCTTAGCTGACATATTACATTCCTGACTCATTATTATTAACTATTTATTGACAGTATTTATATTGGGTTGTTGTAGGTTTTTTCGGGCTATATGGCCATGTTCTAGAAGCATTCTCTCCTGACGTTTTGCCTGCATCTATGGCAAGCATCCTCAGAGGTTGTGAGGCCTCAGGCCCTTTCCGCTTAAGCGGCTGAGGGGGGAAAGGAAGGGGCCTGAGGCCTCACAACCTCTGAGGATGCTTGCCACAGATGCAGGCGGAACATCAGGAGAGAATGCCTCTAGACCCTGGCCATAGCCATGCCGTTAGCCATACAACATATAGAGACAGGCACAGAGGCAATTTAACATTCCAGCTTTGCGGTTTCATGAGGATATGCTCGATTCCGGCCACGGGGGAGCTGCCGCTTCACCGTCCACTTGTGAAACCGAGTCCTTTGATAGAGTACTTTGTTGTTCTTCTGCACGCTGCTGGAAGATTTTATGGCTTCGTAAATTAGTTAAATTAGCCTCCCCACATAAAGTGGTACCTAAATTTCCTAAGTGACAGATGCAACTGTCTTTCTGACTGCATAGGTTATTGTAGTAATTGTTTATTAATTATGTAATATGTTAGGTTGTTAACTGTTTTTACACTGTAGCATTGAATTTTTGCTGCTCTTATTTGATGTGAACCACTGTGAGTTGCCTTCGGGCTGAGAACAGTGATATATAAGTAAAGTAAAGTAAAGTAAGTAAGTAAATAAATAGGTCAACAGCAAGCTAGACTATTAATGGTCAGGAGCTCACTCTGACCCGTGCTGGCTTCGTCTCATGACCCTTTGGTTAGTTGCTCCCAACCTGGGCTCACCTGCACATGGTCTCATGGCACCACCTCTGCCTTGGCGCTTGGGCCTCTTTGCTCCTCTCCTGGAATCAATTCCAGCCCTGGCTCAAGAGAGGCGAGGGGCAGAGCTGCATTTCCAGCCGGGGAGCCCTCTTTGTATTCTCCTCTCTGCACACAGACAATAGGAGACACCCAGAAGTAGGCCATGGACCTTGGAACAAAAGCCAAGCCGCCCCAAGTCCTCTCTGCCCTTTCAAAATCCTGCTTCCCAGGAATGGGTTTGCAAAACAACAACATAAAAGGGAGGGCATGGCCTGACAAGGGGGAAATGCCCACCCAGGAGCAGAGTGGGCTGGAAGAACAGCCTTTGCACTGGGTCCTTGGGTTTGTGACTAGTCATCCACAAGGAAGCTCAGAGTTCTGCAGAACGTAGGCTTTTGTCGCTCTCAAAGGAGAGATAAGGGAAAGAAGCGCAGGGGGTCAGGCAGGATTTCCTGAGGAGAGCACCGGGCTGTGCTTGGAGGAGGTTCTGGTCACGGCTCAAACCTGGCCCTGCAGATGTGAGGTGGCCACTCAGATTCTGGTCAAAACCTCCCCCCAAAGAAGGCCCTGCCTGTTCCCAAAGGGACGGCCTGGCAAAGGGGAGGGCTATCTCTGGCCAAAAGGGAGACAGGGGGGAGTGTTGGTTGGGAAGAGAAGGACAGGCACCCTCCCTCCAAAAACCTCAAGAGGAAGGGGAGGGGCTTCTGTCCTGTTTCCTATCGTTCCCTTGGATGGGGGTGCAGGCGGGGGCTGTAGGGGAGAACCTCTTGCCAGGGGGCATTCGGAGCAGCCACACCTCCATCACCTGTCAAAGAAACACAGATATCTATAACCAATAACAAAACAAAAGTTGCAGGCTGTTATCAACACCGTGTTGTGTTATCATTAGCTATGTCAATCTATTTGCAGTTGCAAATAAGTCACAAGAAGAAAATACATAAGATATAGAGTTTGTTTCTTCACTCTTTTGTTTGAACTTTCCAAACAAAGGATAAGTATTGGGAAAATGTTGACAGTCTTAGAATTGTCCTTGAGAACGTAAACTATTGTCCAAAATAATGACTTCATACCGTTGATAACATGAGTAATAACATACGTGTAATCTATCTCATTGGAATGCATATTACTACTTTATTATCACTGAATGTTTTCTTTGGGTGCCTTTTTTGGCATATCTGTTATGTAGTTTGTTATCACTCATTTAGGGATTTATTGTGAACCACAACTCATAGAAATCCTGAAGAAGGGGAAGTCCCCCGACCGGGGACCCTGGTCGGATATCATTTTGGATTATATGGACATTATCTTGGGCAATAGTTTACGTTCTCAAGGACAAATCTAAGACTGTGTCAACATTTTCCCTGATTAACACAGCTAATGATAACACAACACGGTGTTGATAACCAGCCTGCAACTTTTCTTTTGTTATACACTTCCATCCCCTGCCCGGCATAAGGAACCCCTCCCAGAGAACCGAGGCATATTCACACTGGCCCCAGCACAGCCTCAGTTCCCCAGGCCCACCAATCCTGTGCTTCTCATTGGCAGCGCTTTCCCCAGCCTTAGCAGACCACAAGCTCAACCGGAGTCCACACTGTGATGCAGCCAATGGGATTCTGGGCTGCATCAGTAGGAGTCTGGCGTCCAGACTGTGGGAAGTCATGGACAGCCTCACCTGGAAGAATTCTGTGCCTAGTTCTGGGCAAAACAATTCAAGGAGTTGGCTAGCACAGGAGGGGTCCAGAGGAAGGCAACCAGAACAATCCAAGGTCTGGAAGCAGCCCTATGAGAGCTGGCTTCTGGAGAGCAGTATTTCGCCTGCAGGAAAGGGATTCCACCAGAACATGAAAAACTTCCTGGTGGCCACAGCTCTTGGGCAGTGCAGTCTGCTTCAGTCTATGAGTCCAGTGGAGTCTCCTTCTCGAGAGGTTTTGCAACAGAGTCTGTCTGGCAGACTGGGGTCGGACTGGGTGGCTCTGGGTGGGGTTTCTGGGATTCTAATGGGGAATGCGCCCCCAGCCCAGTGCAGAGCCTGAGTAACTCCATTGTTTCTCCCCCTCCCCTCCCCCTTTCTTCCCCCTCTCCCAGTCCCCTCCCTGCAGACCCTCTGCCGGCTGGCCATCCAGAAGCACATTGTCCACCGCCTGGCCATCGATGGGCTTGACCTTCCCCCACTGCTGAAGAACATCTGCAAGTACGAGTGAAGGGGCCGAAGAAGAAAGGCTGTGTCTGCTTTGCAGGAGTCAGCCGGGACGGGACTCCGCTGATTCCAGGGCTGCATGAGGGCAGCTACACAAGGGAGAAGCTGAGCTTTGACCGGGTTTCATCAACAGGCAATCTGAAGGAACAAGGCAGCCACCTCCATTATGCAACACTCTCTGCGCAAAGCCTGGCCCTGCCCTACAAAAAGACTTGGAGATATACGAGTGGGTTCCAAACCGAGGAGGGTTTTATTCCTCACATGCAGAATGTCCCAAAAGTGTCCGGGGGGAGCAACAAAGCAGAAGCGCGGCACAGTCTCCAGCCGCTTAAAGGAAGAAACCCATCCTGGAAGGGGGGGGGAGGGGAAGGCACAGCCTGTAAATAGCAGGATTCAATAAAGGTGCTCTCCTTGGGGAGCCTCCTGCCTCACTGCCTGCTCCCTTCCCTTTCCCCTGTGGCAACTGGGCAGAGGGTGAGC